TGCACCCTTGGATGAGCTGCCTGGGCTCCAATCATCCCAGCACCCAGCCTGGCCTGGGCCCCATTCACCCCAGCCCCTGCCCGTGCTTGTGCCACACTCCCTCCCTCACTGCAGGGCGGGGCCTCAATCTGCCCTCCAGAGCCCCTTCTCCTTCATAGAATGAATTGGTACTTGCCTGCTGTGCTGGGCAGCCAGTGATCCACACGCGGGGCTGCATGCATGTCTCTCTCCACCCCTACTGCAGCTGCTCGAAGCCTGCGGCTGGGCTGCTTTGTGGCCCAACCTGCTGCCCTGTGTTTGTGGGGACTGAGGCCCATTAGCTCCAGCCTTCTGCTGCCTATGGTCACTGCTGCAAGAAGCCGGAGTAGAGCCATGATCCGCTACTTGTGCACCCGTGTCTGGAGCATGCAGGCTACAGATTGTGGCTGTGCCCTGGCTCTGGAGCAAGCTGCCCCCATCCCAAGTTCCCAGCAGCTCTGCCATGTGTGCTGCCAGCGCAGCTCAGGCTGGTCTCCATGGCAGCCCTAGCCTGAGCTTTCCGATGCAGGTGTGGCAGGAGTCTCCATGGAGACCAGCCCAAGCTATGAGGGCAGGGGCTGCTGGGAAATGGAGTCTGGTTGCTGGCCGGATCAGCCATTTTGCCCACCCCTTTTTTATGCCTAACTGTAGCTTGAAAAAAAACGAGATGGGGGACTGAGAGTGAGATCGACTGTCAGAGGCTCCACGATCGACCAGTCGATCATAATCTACCAGTTGGTGACTATGGTAGGCTGTTATAGATGGTCCCAGTGCTAATATTGTTAGAATGGATTGATTGTTGACTATATTTTTGAGAGGGTTTGGTGTGCCCAAGTTTCCTGCCAGGCTGTGAGGGTTAATAAGATGTTAATTGCTTATTTTGTGATTTATAACATATGGTGTTTTATCTTTAGGTCCTATTGTATGCTGATGCAAACTGGTACAACTGAAATGGCTTCTATGTAACTAAACCAGTAATTCCCAATGTTGTTAGCCTTGAGACAGCTGGCATTTTCTGAGGATCTTAGTTTTCATTGTTTAACTACAGAAAAATAATAAAGCAGTTCTTCTGTTGCAACAAATGAAGAAAGAACACAGTAGGTTAGTGTGTTATTGACACTATGCATTCTGCTTTGAAATCTCTGGGTTTATCTTCTGCATCACATTTGCACACCTGAAAGCATTAATACTGTGCAGCACTCTGTAGGACCCTGGTTGAGAATCACTGAACCAGACCCATGAAAGTGTATGGGTCAGATGCAAATCTAATTTCAGGTTAGTTACTCCAGATTTACTTCCAACCCCTCTCTTCCCAGTTACAAAGATCACATTTGTCCTGTGTTTCTAAAATTAACTTTCTGGGCTTGTCTCCTACATTAAAATATTAATGTAAATGGCTGATCCGGCCCTCAGTGTGCAAGTGTCACTGTCTTATCCTTTAGTTTACTAATTTTGTAGTATGTATGGCACTTCATAAATAAAACTGCACTGCTCAGCACTATGTGGTATGTTCTAGTAATTAATCAGAAATGGCTCCAATTACTAGCTGTTTCAGCAGAACATACTGTGGTAATCTGTAACATCATCTATTATTGATGTATTGTAGCAATATAAGCAATAAAAAAAGAACTTGCAGGGATTCCCTAATGAAAATAATGATTTTTTTTCTTCCTAAATATTTTCTATTATGGATCAAGAGTAACTTCCATATTTTTAAAAGTGTTTACTATCTGGTTTGTGAACCACGTGCTGTATTGTACTGTTCAGAGTAGCCCTCTTCGTCTGTTTCTGTGATTCTGTAGTTCTATTTCAGACCCGATGTTTTGACTAATTCATTCCCTCTATACTTAAAAGAGAGTGTGCAAAAACTATGTCTTAGCTTTGGCTGATTAGAAGTATGGCAGATGGCAGTATCTCTTCACCCATAAGTAGAGGGAACCAAATCAGCTGGTTTGGCTGGAAATTTATTTGTAACATGCAAAACTTTGTTTTAAAGTTGAACTTACTTGAAGAAAATAACACTAGCCCCAGCTTCCTCTTTTTAATAAATGAACATATAACAGTTAAAAATGTAGTTTGTTGATACCAAATGCCTCTGATGCGCCTTGTACCAAGACCTCTGTCTTGCACCAATGCTTTTTTCCCTGCTTTGTTCTTGGCATAATTCAGCTTGCCTACTTTGAGTAACTATTTTGATGAGCATCTAAAATATTACTGTTATTACTGTCCTGGTATGAGTGGGCAAGCAGGTCTTGTGTCTGGGCTGGTGAATCTTCTGTGCTTATTTTGCAAGGCTACTGAAAGTGCAATATAGTCCAAAGGATTTATTGGTTGAGGTTAACTGTAAGCATATCTGATCATCTTGAAATAATTATTTTAATATCAGAATTAGAAAATCCTGAAAAGACCATTTAGTTTTAGGATTAAATAAAAACCTTTGCACTGTAATGGTACAACAGAATCTGGATCATTCATATCTGGTCGATTTGCAAACTGCTTAATTCACAGTGGGTTGCTGAATCAAGTATGTGTCAGTGTGTAGCTGATCAGAAAAGTGGTGCCCTGTGAAATAAAAGCTAAGCAATGAGCTGGAGCAACGCAGCGTTCCTGCATAGCCATTTGCTGCAGGTCTGCACACCCCCACTTACTTCACAAGCCCTTATTTTGTAGGGGAGGGCAGTTAGGAACCTAATCCTGCAAAGTATCTGGGTTCTACAGTACTAGAGTCTGCATGGCATATTAATTTTAACAGTATTGTTGCTCTCAACCTTGTATCCCCTGTTTTGTGAGGGTACTTAAATACAAATGTGTTTTCTTATTATATAGAACCACCACGAGCAAATTATCAAAGCTATGTTTTGATCTGGGAGAATAAAGTATTTTTAAAAATCTTTTTAAAATCACTAACCTCATCTTCTGTTGCTTTAATAATCCTTATTTCACAAATACAATAGAAGTATTCTTTTTTATGCTGAAATTCCTAAGGCTAGAACCTTTATTTTAAATGGGGGTTTCTTTTAATAGGATTTCAAGCTCCTAGACTTCAGTTTGGTGCTGTAAGGCAGATGTGTCTCCTACATAAGATACCTGTGCAGTAAACAGAAGAGTGTGCTTGTTGTCTGCCATCTTGCACTCTTTAAGCAATGTAGCAGCAAATAATTTTAAGTATCCGAAGACAGTTTTGAAACACAGTAGTTATTTGGAAAAAGAACTATCCGGAAATGTAATGATTCCCTGCCATTTTTGTCAGGCTGCAGAGCAGACTTGAAAATGGTTTGCTATGTGGTAAGTGCTCAATCAATATAAAATGCTACCATGCCATTTAATATTTTTGTTTCTTATTGAAGAAAATAGTTCATCTGGCCCCAACAATAAGATACACAGCTGCAGGTTTCTGGTTGATGTTACCTCTCTCACCTTTCAGGACCAAAGCTTTAAAAAAGATAAGTGCATTTTCCAGTGACAGGCCATAATAAGAAAATGGACACATCATAAAATACAGCAGCTAGATTTTTTTTTAATAAAAAGTTTGAGAAGTTCTCTTCCAAACTGTGTTTGAGTGAGCTTGTAGCAGTACATCATGGTTCCTTTGCCATACCTCTTTATGCTGTGAACCTGTTAGCTATGCTGGGTACATCTTTGGCTGGGGAAACCAAGTACCACACAAACTTGTGGTGGGGTGTTTGCTAGGTGACGTTCTTCGTTCTGAGTTAGTACTTGTCCACAGCTCCAGTGCACAGATAGGGAGTGGTGCTATTGAATGAGATATATAAATCTAGGGTCCTAACCCCTTCACACTCTAAGATCATGTGGCACTTCAATGAGCAGTTTGGTTGGTACTTGAATTAGAATGTATAATGTAATTACATTCTGCTTATTTATATTTTCCTGGCTGTTTTCCTTCAGTTCCTGTGTTAATGATATACAGTAATACTGCATACTATTGCAGAAGTGGTAACATTAAAGTGTGGAGTAAAAACAATTTCTGCATACCTTCAATGTCCCACAAAGGGGTACTGGGATAATCACTTAAAGAAATGTTAAGCAGTAGAAGTTGTGAGATATAAAGAAACATTTACTTACTTACACTTGATATTATATCCTTTATATATGATATAAAGCGAGTATGTGTAAATGCTTCCATATATATGCATTTTACACACACACACACACACACACACACACACACACACACACACACACACACACACACACACACACACACACAGAAGGCAACTCCCGGCACGCGAACTAGAGTATGGCATGCAAAGGCATTTTGCTTGGCACATGTGCCTCGGCATGGATGGCAAGGAAGGACCCAGGCCCCTCATGGCTCCCCCACCATTTTTTTTTTTAAGGAGAAAAAAAACCCTTCTCCTGACTATACTCAGTTTTAGCCACAGAACTATCCATCCCATCTTCTTGTATTGCCTGTTTCCTATAGAACTCTCTCCATTCTTATTAGTTTGCAAAATGTATGTGCCTAGTTCAGTATCTCTTCTTGCACAACTTTTTTTTTTAAGTGAACCAGTAGTTAAAAACACTGAATTATTCGAGTGCAACTTCTTCTGAGGCATAAATATGTAGGAGAGGGGGATGCAAATTGTACCTTTTACTCAAAACCATTAATGGCACACCCATTAAAAAACAGGGGCAGTTCCTAGGAAACAAATTCAGCATGGTTGATTTCACTTACTAACAATGTATAGATGTGGCACCTGGTGCTATTTGCAAGTTTATATACAGTGACACTAACAGGTGCAAATTGGTGTTTGTTGATCTGCATTTAAATAGGTGCAGGTATTTTACTAACTTAATGCTGCTTTGCTGCTAGTAGAGCATTAAACAAGTGAAAAAACTAATGCAGTATTCAGAAGGGTTTTAATGGTTTATATTTTTATGTAACTCATGATATGAAAGTGGCAGCCTTTTGGCACAAAGTGCACCTACAGCAGAAGTATCTGATACCCAGTGTGATCACTTTAATTGGCAAGTTTATTTCTAGACAGTGTGATTTGGTAAGAGAATTCTACTCCACATGCCTGCAAGTAAGATGCCTATAACTTCATATTTATTGAATGCTTGAAGAAGTTTGCAGGCAGAACAACAATAGAACTCAGGAATATTTAAAAGAAGTTGTGGCTATGCTGGGATTACATTATGTTGTTTACTTAAGAGAACTGTATAGTGTTTAAACTTCTTGGTGAAAGGAACTGGGAGGGGGGTTTTGCTGGGAGGGTGGAGGTTGGGGTTTATTTTTGCATTTGATCTAGAGTCAGTACTCCCTGCCCTGCCCCTCCCCCCTCTGGAGACAGGTCTTTAGCTAGTGGCTTTACAGCTTGAACAGCTTTTGTAGAGTCCTTCAGTCTATGTCCATTCAGGCCTAAATCTTTCTAAATTGCTGCTAAAATGAGCAGGTTTATTTATGAATCTTTTAGCTCCATCAGTTCAGCTGAAATAGTCCCCCTTGAAGAAAAAGTAGGTTGGCCAGAATCACTCTGAATCTGAGAGATCAAAGCCCTGCTTTTATAAGAATTTTTAACACCATTTTTTTTTGTACTTGATTTTTTTTGGCACTTATTTAGATGCTAAATTGTCTTATCCTGTTCTCTTGGCTTGATTTCAAATCTTTAATT